CTTTGAATAATTTTGATTAACTAATTTTCTTTGTTCTTCTGCTAATTTGGTATTTTTATTATAATAATTTCTTTCTAGTTTGGCCTTGGTTAGATGTTCTTTAAACCTTTTAAGTAAATCTTTAGCTTCTTCCTCATGGTGAGCATTATAATGTAAACCATCTTAAAATGTTGACAAGTATCACACAAATCAGTTCTTGGACTCATAATTTGAATTTCTGGTGTCAATTGATGTCATAATTTTCTGAAAGCATCATACTTCAAAGGTTTTAATTTGCTATTTTCTTCTAGACCAGCTAGAAAATCTCTATGTACTGATTTATAACTCATTTCTGCTGGTAAAAATATAACTGATTGGTTATTCTATTGATACTTCTTCCTGGACTTGGTAATCCATGGACTTCTGCATAATTTTCTAGAAAATTCTTTACTACTTCAGCAACACTTTTGTCAATCACCATTTTAGCTTTCCATTGAGGCATTCTTTTTATGTTACCATGAATTCTTGGTAAAAGATTATTGTTTATTAGATGATTTCTAATATTTTCTAAGTAAGTTCTACCAATCCCTAGCATATTGAGATAAGTTTCTTGACAAAGAAGTGTATTGTGATCTCAGTGATAGAAAGTTCTTTTATTAGATCTAGTTTTCTTTTTAAGGCGTCTACTAGTGTTTATTGATCCACCATCCATTGCTTTAATCTGTGCCATTAAAAATATGTCTTGTTCTGATTTAGAGAGAGCTTGAAAGGATTCTCTTAATTCTGCAAATTGTTCCTTGGGAATTCTGGAAGAGCAACCACATTTACAACCTTTTTTTAAAAAATCAATGGCTTTTTGATATTCATTAGAACCATTGTATTTGTTATCTTTGTTAATACTTTTCATATACACTTATCCCTATATATATAATTTTATGTTCACTTTGTAGTTTTTTATAATTGTTTTAAAATTGAAGGAAAGTATATGAATGGAATTAAACTTAGATGAATCAATGGAATAGTTTTAGGTAAATGATTTAAAAAATATGATTGTTCAATAACTTATGAAAAGAAATTGGAAAATTTGCCAACTTCCCATGAAAAATAATTATGGCAAAAGACATCTTAAAAAGCAAACAATAAATGAAATAATAACAAAGTTAATAAAAAACTGACTACCTTCAATGAATTTTTCCACACATTGTTATTATTGCTGTAACAAATCACATGTAATGATTATATTTATAGATGTAAAATTATTATTTATTATTATATCTTCCAAATAGATTATAACGATAAGATTAATTATAGTTTATTTATATTTTTATTATTATATATTATTATGTATTTTTAACATAAAGAGGATTATCCTCTAAGAAATAAAGGTAATTTGTATTTTTACAACAATTAAAGTGCCTGTTCAAAAATACTTATCCCTTAAATAAACAGAAATTGCATCCAGATTTAGACGCAATTTCATTTAAGGGATAATTTATCTTGTTGAAAAGTAACTCTAACAATTGTAGGGGGATTAAATAATCAATTTTGAAACTTAAAAATTAATGAATATTACATTAAGGTAAATAATTTGATTTGTAAAATGCAACCTACAAGAGCAAAGAAAGATAGAACTCTAAATTAACATAAAAATTTTAAATTGCATACAAACCTATCCCCTTTAATATGATTTCAAAAGTGCACCAATGGATTCAAATAATTGCTTGATTGATCTTGGAACATGTAATAGTGTGATTGTTCCAGCCTTGGATTCCATGCAATAACTGGCAATTTTTTTATCTTGTATTTTTTCAATATAATTAATTATATGTCTTGGTTAAAATAAAAAATAAAATAAACAAACATGTTATTGATATTTGATACTTTCCTCATGTGTGAATTCCTTTGTCTCTGCATTCATCACAGTGATTATTCAATATATTTGATGTTATAATTGACATAAAAAACAACTGCATCACCTGGGTAGTAATAATACCAAGGCCATGCAAAAATTAAACTGTGTCTACCCAGATCTCTGGGCTCACAATAATCAATTATGGTCAATAGGATAAATAATTAATGTGTACGCATTGATCAAATAACAAACTTCTTTAAAAAAAAAAAGTCATTTGATGACAAGAAAAATAAAAGAAGCAGGCAAACTGCTCTTGGTGAAATTTCTAGGTAAGTATTTTAAGGATGGTGGTGGTGGTTATCGCCTGCCACTTGTCATTACTCTAGTTATTGAGAAGAATGATGGATTATCATCATTCTTGTTAATAAAGAAAACATTAATTATGATGGAATACTTGCTGATATTAGTGGGTAAGTTATTACTATTTAAAGATACTCCATGATTTTCTTTCTTTTCTTTCTGACTGAGTATCTAACTTAATTTCGCCTATACCGGATAAAGTGTCAATGGGGAGAACATAGTACAGATAAAAAAGGTGAAATCATAAATAACTTTCGAATAACTTTCAGATGGCAAATAATTAATGACCTCCTGTTTCATGATTAGGTGAAATTCGATGAGAAGGAACAAGAATCAGAAGCTAAAACCAAGATTCCATTTAAGACCAGAAAATACAATTTGTATGTTGATGGAGAAGACATGCGATCTTTAATTGATAGATGGTGTCAATCAACAAAATATGTTGCTGAAATACATAAACAGGAGTATATGTTCTTTAAATTTATCTTACTTCGGAAATTGTTTAGGTTAAATTAACATTTCGCATGCATTATTTTAGTTTGTTATTTTATCACATTATAGATAAAATTGAATCATCAGCAACTGCTCCACAATCTGTTTTTAAAGATAGGTGGACTGATTTGATTAATGTTATGGAAGACATTTTTACACCTAGTAATATTGATCCCAATGAGAAACAAGATGTGAAGATTTATATAAAAGAACTTATGAAAAAAGTGGTGAGAGGATTATTTGGTTGCAAATAATTATAGTTCATTTCTAATATCTATTGTTTTAAAAAAAGATAACATGGGAACAGCTGGATAACGTTATCAAGATTGAAAAGAATAAATTACGTACATCTAAATATGAGTGATGGAAATATCAAATTATAAAGCTCTCAAAAATTTTGTAAGTGCCTTTTCACTCTTGAATTTCCTTTAAATGTCACATGGCCAATTTTGCTGATATGTAGCTTTTTGAAATTATTATAGTAAAGACCAATTTAAAAATAATCATAACAAGCTTACAAAAAATCAAACAGAGAACAATTATATAATCAATTTTATTTCTCGAGTTTTTATATTAATGTTTAAAGATAGTGATGTTAGCCGGCTAATAATCTGCATGCATAATTTCTAAATTTGGTAATAGATTTCTGCGTTACTTTCTTGTTATAGAAATAATATTACCAATTTAGGTAGTAAATGGCTTAGCTGGCTAAAGATTTTTAAACAGCTAACATCACTATAAATTACATGTTTTAAAAAAGAATAGAACACTACAACAAATAATTTTTTTGAGAAAATCTCTATTACATTAAAACTAAAGACATATTTTATCAACTAATAGAGCTATTTTTTGAAAGGTAGGACAGAAAGTGACTTCTATACTTTTAAAATTTGCCCAAAATTTAGGAGGTCTTTAGACCAAGCCAACTATACAATGCAAAAAGTAGATTAAATTTACCATATAGTAAATATATCAATTTTTTTTAGTAAATAATTTTTGTTTTACAGATGATGTCCTTAACAATACTTTGTATTTCATAAAACCAATTTTCCTTGAAAAAAAAATTTTTTTTAATTTTTTCTATATGCTCTTTACATTGTCTACCAAATCGTCCCAGGGTAAATTTCATAATATAAAAAAGTCCACCAAATCGTCCCACTATATACAGCAAGACAAAAATACTATAGAAATAGTCAAATAACTGATCTATAAACATAAATATACATATATACATATATACACATTTATAAAAATGAGCCAAATTCAAGTCTATTTTAAACATAACTGACAACTTCTAGCTTCTTAATCTAATAGTTTTATTTTTTATTTTTAAATTAAAATCAAATTATAAATGCAATCTGTGTCAACATTATGAAACTATATCTGGTTTTTGGAGTGTTACTATTATAAAAAATGGAAGAGGATGAAGAGGATGGATGAAATTTATTCTAGTTTATCATGAAGCTGTATTTGTTCAAATATTTAACAAGTGTTGATAGGTGACATATATGTGTTTTTAAAGAAGTAGCAAAGAAAAATTTAAATGAATGTTTGGGGTCAGAAGAATGTGCCATTAAATATTATTTATGAGAATAATAAAACTATTTTCTTACATATTGTATATGTACATGATCAGAAGGTAGAGGAGATGTAGAAGGAAATAAAAATAGTAGATGGTAGAGAAAATGCAATAAGTTGAATGTTATTTTTAAATAGATTTAGGTAACAATAATAATTTATAATATTCTTATAAAAATCTTACATAATTTTTCATCAAATTATACTAATTATACTTAATGATTATTACTATAGGATAAAATACATAATTCTTGCTGATTACAATTAGGGTCTTCCTTTATTATTATAATAAGAAATAACAAACTATGCTTTGCATCACAAACTATATGTCTTGTGTCATGAATTATGCTTTGAATCATGAATTATTGCTTCCGAAGACCCTAGATTTCATATGATTATTACTTGGTGTTGATTAAATGCCAAGGTTTTCTTTATTTACCATTCAACAAAAATTTATTGATTATAATTTGTTGTGCTAATTATAATAAAAAAACATTTGTTAAATTAAAAATAGCAAACATATAGTATATTTTACATTTAGGCAGTTTCTATTTGTACACTATGTGTGTAAACACGGAGTTATGTTGCACATTATTTTACATTATATTGGTTCACAATCACATTGGATCATCCCATCATTCGATCCAAACAACCTTTTTTGGCCCATTTTTGGGAAGTTGAACAAGTGCCAACCACACAATCTCTAACCATCACTTTATTTTATCATATCAAATTATCCCATCATTTTCACAAATCAACCTTGTCTTGTGTTATATATATGCACATACAAATCATATGTAAGATGCAAAATGAAATGTTATGTGTTTCAGGGTGTCCCAAACCCTCAAGCAAAACACTCACTCTAAAAAAGTTTAAAAAAAAGTTAATTTTTTTTATTGATGCAAATTTTATTATGTAACGCACATGACACATGTACATACACTACGTGTTTGCTAAGAAAATTTCTTACATTTAATTGTTCATTTTCTTTTATAGTTATTCTAGTGAGTTTAGCTATTGCAGAAGGAATGTTATTGCTAACTGTTTGGGTCATGTGAGTCTATAGTGTTGTGACACTAAAAATAGTGTCATTAATTTGAGATGATCAACAAGGGGAAATTTTTTTAAAAAATAAAAAAATAAAACAGTGGTAATGTCTTTAGACACATACAATGTTATCAGAGATTTGGCAGAATGTGCAGTGAACTTAGCATTGAGTGAAATAAATGATAACAATTGAAAGCAGAAAGTGTTGGAAATATCACCACAGGTTAGCAATATATTATTGAGATTTGCTTTTTTTTGTTCATGTGTAATGATGATACTATGGTAGATGAATGATTTTTGTTCAACAGATTATTGCTGAATGCTGGGGAATGCCAGCCCAGAAGAATGACTTCTTTAGGGACACCTCAAGTTGTCAAGGGTACTGCTACCCCCTTGCAAGGTGTAATCATTTGGTCAAGAGAAAAAATTTCTATGATTTACTGAGAGAGAGAGAAAATTGTGCACATGTATATATTTCATGTGAAACTAACCTATATTAATATATCATCCACCATAGATGCAATCTGGATATGACAGTATAGTTGGGTTGAAAGCATTGAAAGCATTGAAGACGGTATTATATTTCATAATTCAGGTTAAGACTCACATAATAAATCTATAAACTAATTAAGTTATATAGGAAAAGGAAACAGTTTTGGATAATTCACATGAGAAAATAGAACAAAATTTTAATGTGTTGAAGGTGAAGCTTGGTGTAAGTGTTTGACTATTTTTGTAGTATACAAAAGATTTTACCCATTGTATGAATTTTATATTGGTTTTATTTAGAATCCAGGAACTGCTACAGATGTATCACTCTATAACACCCTTAAGAAAAATCTGGAAAAATTTGTTGTACCTTCCAAACTCACTTGGTGGGATCCAGAGGCAAACACAGTTCTCAGCAATGAATCGGTTGTAGTGCAGAAATTGAACTATAATCAAAAACATGATTTCCTGGTAATAATAATTTTGTATGACTTGCTATGATATTTACTGTTTCCACTTACTGTATATTAATTTATCAACAGGAACCATGTGAGAACATGAAGTGTGTTATGCCAGAATCGCTTCTTTTAAAATGTGAGAACTTTGTTAGAAATTTTTCTGCTTCGAATATAACAAATGATATCATGAATTCTGTACATGATAAGACCTGGAAGGAGAAAACATCTCAATTGGAAATAAGAGTGGAACAATTGTTAGAAATAATGTAAGCACTTCAGTAAGTTAGTTTCTTTGTATATATATTTTCTGATTTTTCTTTTGTCACTTAGTGAGGAAGTATGGAATAATCTGGCCTTTGAGAACAGCACAACCTGTAGTGAGCAAAGTGAAGGAATGTACATTTGTGATGTAGTAATGCCTTTAATTTGGGCTAGTTTGGGTAATATGCCTGGCAGGTGTATTTGCTTAAGCTTGTAAGTGGATTTTTGGGATATCCTCTCGCTATTGTTATCTTTATTATTTAGAATTGATTTTATTACAGTGCAGAACACCAAAGCTTGACTAGTAAAGCCTGAAGAAATTACACAATAACAGGTAGAAAACATGTGGGGAAGAAGCCTGATATCATGGCTTTGATGAAGTATCAAGGAAAAATTAATGAGCTAATGTACATGGAATGTTCACATGTTGTATGTGATAATAGAAAAAAAGATGATGATGGAGTTAAACTATGGTGAGAAGCATTAGATGGCACATCAGGAAAATGCTTTTGAAATTATACATAGATCCTACAAGTAAACAGCATATAAACACCATATCATGATTTGTATATGATTGACATATGTGGCTTTTCAACATGATTTGCACATTATATGGATAATTCTTATGTATTATAAGTATAATAAATTACACTAGTATTTGTGAACTAATCCAGTATTATACATATAGTTCTCATATATATATTCTTCCATGTCATGTTGACATTAGTATATGTTAAAAAAACAAATTTGTTAGTAATAAATAAAATAAATAAATAATTAATTATAAATTGTAATAAATTTCTTACCAATGTTGACATTAATATATTCATTAAAGATATATGTTAAAAAAATAAATGATTGGTAGATAAATAAATATAAATCATTAGTAGATGAATGAAATGGAACAAAATAATTTATGTTAGTAGTAGATAAGTAAATAAGGAAAAATAAATATAAATCATTAGTAAGTAAATGAAATGATTTGTGTTAATAAATAAATAAATAGTTATAATTGGAGAAGATAAATTCAAATTTCTTAAAATATATGTATATGTTAAAAGATTAATATATAAATAAAAGAAAATATGAATATAAATCATTAGTAGATGAATGACATGGGATGAAATAGTTTCTTAGTAATAAATAAATAAATAAACAAATAATTAGTTAATTATAAATTGTAATAAATTTCTTACCAACATTAGCATTAATATATTCATTAAGATATATCAGATATGTTAAAAAAATAAATAGGTTTGTGTTAATAATAAATAAATAAATAATTATAATTGGAGAAAATAAATTCAAATTATAATAAATTTCTTACCAATGTTGACATTAACATAGTATTCATGAATAAAGATATGTGTTAGGAGTAAAATGATGATTACTGTATAAATATCAATCATCATTTCAACTCTATTAATAAAAATAAATATATTAAATTCATTTTACTGTGTAATTTTCCATTAAAGATTTGATAATCCTTTCATCCAAACATAGGTAATCCAAAAAAAGTATTTATTATAGCTCATACACATGTAAATGCTTTATTGGATCATTTAAACAAGTCTTTGTCTTTCCGAAAAGCTTCTTATGTAATATTTTCTAAGTAAGTTCTATCATTTTCCGGCTCATTTTTTTCTAAAACTAACAATGTAATCTTTGTTGCTTCACTATAAAAAAGTTAAATTAATTAAATAATTCATTAATACTGGTGAACAATGATGATAAAAACAATGGTAATGATAAATGCTGTTATATTATTATTCCAATGTAAATTGCCCTCCACATTCTTAACGTATATATACATATTTTTTTTAAAGAATGTTATTATTTTGTGTTACAAAATATATCAATATTTAATCATGCCAATAGGGATAAATTTTTGGTGATCTGTGTTATAGTAAAATTCAAATTCCGTTAATAAATATTAATATCTTTTTAATTCAACTAGAATAGTGAGTTTTGGATTAACTATTACCACTATTATAAAAACAGTCTTATGGATGGGATGTGTTTATGCCTAAGAAAGCTAAAGGTAATAATAATTTAATGGGTTAAATGGACTCCTACATTGATAAATGAGTATACAAATCAGTAAATAATTAATTTTTTTTTGTTATATGAGTCAAATCTAAAGCACAAAAATAATTCAGCAAACACTCATAAGCATAAACCATACCAGGAAACCATCCTAATAGAGTGGTATTTTCATTTCAATTGGTTAAGTATTTTATTAATTTAATCAAAATTAAGGAATTTTAATGTGAGTAGTTGATATTTTAAATTGTTGATGATCTTTAAAGTCTATATAATAACAATATGCAATCTTTTAATATGACAAATGATAGAACTTTGGCTTTCAAATGAGTTCAAAATCATCAACTTATTCCAAGGATTGGCAGAATGCAAATTTTTAGATGCAAGTCAGCTACAAAATCAGCTACAAAAGATCAAAAAAAAAAATTTATAGGTCAATGAATGATAATCATGTATGAGCATAATATGGGGGCTGTTCTAGGAAAACACGGGTTAGAACTGATTTTTTTTTTTTGAGATATTTGCAAAAACAATTTTTCAAA